GCATGGTGTGTCCGCCTTCCCGATGGTTTTGTCTCCCCTTGTCCCCTCGTACCCCTTCTTGTTTCCCTTTGTTGGATGGTGTGTCCGCCTTCTCGAGGGTCTTGTCTCCCCTTGTCTCCCTTTTTGTTTCCCTTTGTTGGCTCGTGTGTCCGCCTTCCCAAGGGTCTTGTCTCCCCGTGTCTTCCCATTGTCTCCCTTCTTGTTTCCCTTTGTTGGATGGTGAGTCCGCCCTCCCGAGGGTCTTGTCTCCCCTTGCTTCCCTTTGTTAGATGGGGTGTGTCCGCCTTCCCGAGGGTCTTGTCTCCCCTTGTGTCCTCTTGTCTCCCCTCGTGTCCCCTTGTGTCCCCTTGTCTCCCCTTGTGTCCCCTTGTGTCACCTATCTCCCTGTTGGATGGTGTGTCCGCCTTCCCCAGAGTCTTGTCTCCTCTTGTCTCCCCTTGTCTCCGCTTGTCTCCCAATGTCTCCCCTCTTGTTTCCCTTCTTGTTTCGCTTCTTGTTTCCCTTTGTTGGATGGTGTCTGCTTCCTCGGCGTCTTGTCTCCCTTTTCTCCCTTTTCTCCCCTTTTCTCCCCTTGACTCCCCTTTTACCGCTTCTTGTTGCCCTTTGTTGGATGGTGTGTCCACCTTCCCGAGGGGACAAGTTGACTCCCCTTGTCTCGCCTTGTCTCCCTTCTTGATCGCCAAGCAGTGTACTGTTAGGGGTTCTTGATGCTTTCTTAAGGTGTCCGCCTTGGTGTTGGATGGTGTGTCCGCCTTCCCGAGGGTCTTGTCTCCCCTTGTCTCCCCTTGTCTCCCTTTGTCGCATGGTGTGTCCGCCTTCCCGATGGTTTTGTCTCCCCTTGTCTCCCCTTGTCTCCCCTTGTCTCCTCGTACCCCTTCTTGCTTCCCTTTGTTGGATGGTGTGTCCGCCTTCTCGACGGTCTTGTCTCCCCTTGTCTCCCTGTGTCTCCCTTCTTGTTTGCCTTTGTTGGATGGTGTGTCCGCCTTCCCAAGGGTCTTGTCTCCCCGTTTCTCCCCATTGTCTCCCTTCTTGTTTCCCTTTGTTGGATGGTGCGTCCGCCTTCCCGAGGGTCTTGTCTCCCCTTGTTTCCCTTTGTTAGATGGGGTGTGTCCGCCTTCCCGAGGGTCTTGTCTCCCCTTGTCTCCCCTTGTCTCCTCGTACCCCTTCTTGTTTCCCTTTGTTGGATGGTGTGTCCGCCTTCCCCAGAGTCTTGTCTCCTCTTGTCTCCCCTTGTCTCCTATTGTCTCCCCTCTTGTTTCCGTTCTTGTTTCCCTTCTTGTTTCCCTTTGTTGGATGGTGTGTCCGCCTTCTTGGCGTCTTGTCTCCCCTTTTCTCCCCTTGACTCCCCTTTTACTGCTTCTTGTTGCCCTTTGTTGGATGGTGCGTCCACCTTCCCGAGGGGACAAGTTGACTCCCCTTGTCTCGCCTTGTCCCCCTTCTTGGTCGCCAAGCCGTGTACTGTTAAGGGTTCTTAATGCTTTCTTAAGGTGGCCGCCTTGGTGTTGAATGGTTTGCCCGCCTTCCCCAAGGTCTTGTCTCCTTTTGTCTCCCATTGTACCCTTTGTTGTTTCCTTTTGTTGGTTGGTGTGTCCGCCTTCCCGGCACCTTGTCTCCACTTGTCTCCCATTGTACCCCTTCTTTCTTGTTTCCCATTGTCTCCCCTTGCACATTGTACCCCTTCTTGTTTCCTTTGGTTGGATGGTGCGTCTGCCTTTCGGAGGGTCTTGTCTCCCCTTGTATCCCAGTGTGCCCCATCTTGTTTCCCTTTGTTGGATGGTGTGTGCGCCTTATCGAGGGTTTCTTGTTTTCCCTTGTTGGATGTTGTGTCCGCCTCCCCGAGGGTCTTGTCGCCCTTTGCCTCCCATTGCCCATTGTACCCCTTTTTGTTTCTTTTTGCTGGATGGCGTGTCCACCTTTTCCGGGGTTTTGTTTCCCCTTGTCTGCGATTGTACCCCTTCTTGTTTCCCTTTGTTCCCTTTATTGGATGGTCTGTCCGCCTCTCCGAGGGTCTTGTCTCCCTTTGTCTCCCTTTGCCCATTGTACCCTCTTGCTTCCCTTTGTTGGATGGTGCGTCCGCCTTTCCGAGGGTCTTGTCTTCCTTTGTCTCCCATTGCACATTGTACCCCTTTTTGTTTCCCTTTGTTGGATGGTGCGTCCGCCTTTCCGAGGGTCTTGACTCCGCTTGTATCCCAGTGTGCCCCTTCTTGTTTCCCTTTGTTGGATGGCCTGTCCGCCTTCCCAAGGGTCTGGTCTCCCTTTGCCTCCCATTGTACCCCTTAATGTTTCCCCTTGGACGGTGTGTCCACCTTGCGGAGGGTCTGGTCCCCCTTTGTCTCCCATTGTACCCCTTCTTGTCTCCCCTTGTTGAAAGGTGTGTTCGCATTGCCGACAGTCTTGTCTCCCCTTGTCTCCCATTGTACCCCTTCTTGTTTCCCTTTGTGGGACGCCTCCCCGAGGGCGTTTCCCATTGTACCCCTGATTGTTTCCCTTAGGGGTTGGTGTGTCCGCCTTTCTGACGGTCGTGTCTCCCATTGTACCCCTTCTTGTTTCCCTTTGTTGGATGGTGCGTCCGCCTTCCCGAGGGTCTTGTCTCCCCTTCTCCTGCATTGCGCCCCTTCTTGTTTCCTTTTGCCGAGGGTCTTGTCTCCTTCTGTCTCCGCCTGTACCCCTTCTTGTTTGCCTTTGTTGGCTGGTGTGTCCGCCTTCCCGAGCATCTTGCCCCCCTTCTCTCCACATTATCTCCTTTCTTGTCCTCCAAACAGTGTACTGGGGTTCTTAACGCATTCTTAAGGTGTCCGCCTTGGTCTTGTCTCCCTTTGTCTCCCACCCAATGCTCCCTTCGTGTTTCCTTTTTGTTGCTCGGCGTGTCTCCACTTTTCCCCCGTTGTCTCGTCCCCACACGCGTGCCTGTGTTGGATGATGTGTTTGCGTTCTCGATGTCTTGTCTCCCCCTTGTCTCCCAATGTTTCTCGTTGTCTTCCCACATGTGTGTTTGTGTTGGATGGTGCGTCCGCCTTCCTGACGTCTTGCCTCCCATTGTCTCCCCGCATGTGTGCCTGTGTTGGATGGCGTGTCTGCCTTCCCAAGGTCTTGTCTCCCCTTGTATCCCCTTCTGACCCATTGAGCGCATTGTCTCGCATTGTCTCCCCACACGTTTGCCTGTGTTGGATGGTGGGTCCGCCTTCCCGACGTGTTGTCTTCCCTTTTTGTCTCCCATTGTCTCCCCACATGTGTGCCTCTGATGGTATGTCTGCCTTCTCTGGCCTCTCCCTTGTCTGCCATTGTCTCCCACTGTCTCCCCACATGTGTCATGTGTGCCTGTATTGGATGGTGTGTCTGCAATTCTGAGAATTTTCATGGTCATTTGTCCAGCTCTTGAGTTCTTGCCAGGTCCTTTGCATTTGAAACAGTTGTGTGACAGGGGACTGGTGTTCGCTGACCCTGGATTGGTCAGGTTCGCCATCCGCACACACACATGCCGCGGCCATCTACGCCCAAAGGGGCCCCTTGCAGCCACGGTGGCGCTGTGATCGGAAAATGGCCGTCGTGTTGGCCTTGCTGTGAGTTTGCCGGCAGTCGGCATCACATTTCGATTGAGGATAGGAAACATCATTTCATTGGTCATTTTGACCGCCTGGCTGAGTTTTGTGAGAGACTGGAATTTGCTTGGAACGCTCCCCAGTGCTACCAATCGCATTGGTAGCGGAGCAGTCTACGCTCCAGAGACTGACTCCTGCCCATTGACGCTACCTGGGGGCTCTGCTGAACTGGTGACTTTGGGGATGCTTTCCAAGGAGAAAAGTGACAGTTAGATCCCTTCTTGGGATGGCAGCTCTCGAACATGGAGACGATACTGCAAGGAAGTGGCATGGTTCATGAGTGGAACCAAAGCAAATCAACGACAGTATGCTGCTGCGAAACTGATTACACGATTGACAGGTGCTGCAAGACTTTTGTCTATGAGTTGGCATCGTGACTTCATGGGCGAACAGGGCGTTTCAAAGATGCTACGTTGTTTTGCTGCCTCTCCTTTGGTACGTAGGTCTCTGCCTAATGCTGCATCAACAATGAGTGAGTATTTCAGTTTTCGAAGGCGACCCAATGAGCCGATTGCGCAGTTTCTGGTGCGCGAAGCTCTTGGGTTCGAGGAGTTTCAAGAGGCCTTGCTACAATTGAAGGAGGAACGTGATGGATTGGACCCATCACAGCGGCAATTCGATCTCCCTGAAATCACTGGCCTAAGTGCAGGCAGTTCTGGAGCCCCAGCACAGGATCATGAGCCTTGGTGGAATGGTCGTTGGGGTGAATGGCGTGGTGTGATTCATGGAGATGATGAAGATGATGGTGAACCCGTGCAGGGTGATGCAGGTCCTTCTCAGCGGCCTGATGGATATGCCGAAGTGCCTCAAACATCTGACCCAGGTTCTCCAGTGATTGGCCCTTCTGAACAAGCAAGACGACAAAACATGGATGGCTCACCAACACAGAGCCCTAGTCGAAAAGTTGCCACTCACCGGGAACCACATGGTGCTGATGATGTTTTGAGCCCCATGGACAGTTTTATTTTGGATGTGATGCGAGGTTGGAGATTACTTGTAGCTGCATGTTTGAGCTCTGATGAATGGCGTGATGTGCTTGCTTCTACTGGTAACAAGTTGGACTATCAAAGCATTGCTGACGCTTTTCAAGTTCTTTGGGATGAACAGCTTGGTAGCGGGAAAAGTCCGGCTATGTCCTCTCCTTCTTCATTTCATCATAACCACTGGGTTGAATCATGGCCTTCTGATGGGGGTGCATACTATGAGCAACAATACAACTGGCTTGATGATGGATGGAATTCTTCTGATTGGGGTGATTCAAACTACTCAACAGGGGATGCTTTTGCTGCTCATTGGAATGATTCTGGAAGCCCAAGTGGCGATGTTGGTGAAGTGGATCAACCGGATCCTGATGACCCCGCCTTGAAACAGGTGATGGATGCCGAGCGTTCGGCTGAGGCAATGTTCAATGAGGCAAGACGCACCTGGTCCCAAGCTCAACAAGCTACAGCCTCCTTGCGTCGTGACCGTGGATTTGGCCAACATGCGCATGACTCTGGAAAAGGCAAGGGAAAATGTTTCAACTGTGGGGGAAACCATTATGTTCGAGATTGTCCTGATCGTTTGCACCCTGGTCCCCGAAAAGGAGTTGGTAAACATTTATCTCAAGCTGAACTTGATGCGTATTTGTTGAAGGGCAAAGGCAAAAGCAAATCCAAGGGTCTTCATGTGGTAAGTTGGGACGATGGTTGGTATGGGGATAGCTATGAAAACTATGGCATGTTCAAGGGCAAGGGCACATATGGTAAGAACGTCAAGGGCAAGTACAAACCCTCCTTGAATACCTATGTCATGGACTATGACTACCATTCTTCCTACTGTTTGGAGCTTTTCCCATTAGAGTTGTTTTCAACATCACAACCTTCAACTACGTGTCCTCAACGTTCAGTTCCCCTTGGGTTTGGTATGTTGGATTGTGGTGCAACAGCCGCAGCAGGACCAGAGTCCTCCGCAAAATTGCTGATTTCCAAGTTGCGTGAGATCGACCCTGAAATTGGTGTTCATTTGGATGATTCTCGAAGACCTTATTTTAGGTATGGTTCTGGCCAGTGGGGACGATCACTATATCACTTGACCTTGGTTTCTGCGAAAGATCCTTCAAGAACTTTTGAGATGTATACTTTGCCTGACCCCGATGGTTTTGTCTACGGTTGGTCTTCACCTTCACAACTGGTACCCATTCTTGTTGGCATGGATCATTTACAAAAGATCGGTTTGGTTTTGGATTTTTCTGATGAATTTGCACTACATGGTGCTGAACCTGAAGCTGAACCCTATTGCCTGCGCAAGAACCCCAAGGGTCACTTCATGATTGACCTGGTGTACTACCTGTGTGGTGTGATCTCTGATGCCGAGGCCATTGACACCTTTGCGGCAACCATGGATGGCGCTTCGCCTCAATCTTCAGGACAGGGATCCTGGTCTTGGTTGGAGTTGGGTCCAATGGAGTTGATGGCAGTTTCTCATGCACAAGTTTCAGATTCTCAACATGCAGTTCCTTCACGTGGTTTTCAGTTTCTTTGTGATCGCAGAAAACAATTGTCATCAACAACAAAAGCTGAGAAGCCTCAAGTGAAAACTGTGACGTTTGAGACTGCTTCCCATGGGTCCCAAGAGCAAGTCCGTGGCAGCTCCAAAGAGCCCTTCGTTGCCTCTCGAGCACGACCGAGCTCTACCGGCAGATCCTCGAGATCCTCGCAGCCAATCAACATGGCCTTGCAACGGCTCTCACGAGCACAAGACCAATGGCGGCAACGCTTCGGGCATTTGGTCGGATTGTGCAACATGTGGCCTGAGGATGAGCTACATTCCTCGACAAGGTACTCCAGCGAAATACATGACCCAGAATGCCCCGGAGGTCATCACCAATGCCCTGAAGATGCTGAAGGAGCACTTGACCGAGGACCAAAAGCCCAATGCCAGCATGGTGAAGACTTGCATCAGGCTGGTGGAATCTTCAATGGCGATCGAGGCGCACAAGGCCAAGTTGACCCTGATGGAGGCTCATCACCAAAGCCTCAAAGCTCACCTCCAGCTGCTCCTTGCCGCGCCTGTGACCCAGCTGTGCGAGGAGGATCAGAGCGAGGCCCAGAGTCTGCTGTCCATGCTGACCGGAGACGAAATTGCCCGGCTGAGAGAGATTGCTGCAGAACGAGTTCAAGTGTTTCCCATGTCTCCGCCCGACTCCGAGGTGGAAGTGATCCCATACCCGAAGGCACACATGCCTCCAAGCAATCCTTGAAGCCTGATGATGGTGCAATTGCAATGCATGATGATGGTCGTTTGGCTGAGACTGATACGAAGATGGTTAGCCTCCCTTGTGATCAACTTCATGGCAGTTCCTTTGCTGCGGTGATGAATGCTCAGGACAACAACGAGCCTGAGGATGCGTCCTTGGCTGAGGACTTTGAGCTTTTGCACTTTGTTGAGTCGAAGATGATTGGCAGCTCTTCCAAAAATCACCCAAAACAAAACAAAAAGGGTTTTGCTACTACCAAAAATTCTCAAAAACAAGATTAAAAAGCCTCTTGCATCGGCCTCTACTAATTCAATGTCGCCACCCCAACATATGGAATGTCTTCGTGAAGAAGGGAATCCTACGGTTGGTGGCTCTGCAAAGTTTTGTGGCCTACCTTTGAAGATTGGCCGTGCTGCAGCGTCCTTGATGGCAATGCTGATGCTTCATGCTCAAGTAGGACTTCAAGACCTACTACGTGGTGATGAACGGGTAGATTGCTGGGAGCTCTTTTGTGCACCTGACAGCTGGTTGGCCGCTGCCTGTCAATCTGAAGGACTTCGAGCTTCCCGCATCAACCTTCACCAAGGCTATGACTTGTACCAGCCTTCAACCTATGATGAGCTGCGAGAAAGATTCCACCGTGAAAGACCCAAACGTGTCTGGGTTTCAACAAGATGCACATATTGGTGCCCATGGACTTCTTTGAACTACAGGTCCATTGAACAAAAGCAGAACTTGGAGAAGTTCCGGCGCAAAGAACGAGCTATGTTCAAGCTGCTCATACCCTTCCTGGTGGAGATGCTCACTGCATACCCTGACACTGAGCTGTTTTGGGAATGGCCTACAAGATGCTATGGCTGGAAAGAAACCTGGTTGGAAACTCTGCAACGTGAACTTCATCGACTTGACCGTGATTGGCTTTTTGGTCGAATCGATGGTTGCAGGTATGAACTTCGCTCTCAGCTTGGACTTTTGCTGCAGAAGCGATGGACTATTGTCACAAGCTCCAGCAGTTTCTTCCAGACCTACCGCAACAAAACATGCGTGGGCAACCATGACCACGACTATGTGCAGGGACTGGAGACCAGCCGCAGTGCCTACTACCCTTGGAAGATGTGCAAGTCCATTGCACAACACTGGCGCCGAGAACTTTATCCTGAAAAATGGCTTCATCGACTTCACTCTCCACTACCTCTTCACCTCAACATGGCTAAGCAAGAGCACACCTTGCGGTTGGACTTGATGCCGCAGATGCTCCAAGATGAACAACCCTCAGCACAAGATCTTCGCACTTGGCAACTTCAACTTTTGAAGTATCACAAAGCTGCTGGCCACCCCAACAACTACAACCTGGCTAGAATAGTGAAAGACAGTGGTCGAGCCAAGTGGCAAGTTGAAGCTGCTCTCAAACTTCACTGCGATGATTGCCATGCTCTTCAACGTGGTGGTGATTCAAGTGGCAAGATCCCTCCAGCTTCCTTGAGGGCAACACCTTCAGCTTGGGAAATGGTTGGACTTGATGCCTTTGAATGGAATCCACCACACTCCGACAAGAAGTACAAGATTCTTGCGTTCATGGACTTTGCAACGCACTTCAAAGTCATCCACGTGGTGAGAGAGAGTACGGCATCAACCAACAACAAACTGAATCAGCCCAAGAAGTACTGGATGGACTTTATCAGTGCTGGCTGAAAGACAAACCCAAAATAAAGATCTTGGTGCCTGGCAATGCCCTCACTATGAGAGGTGATCTGATGCGATCCTTTCTTTCTGATGTGGGCATACAACTGGAAGTGCCACCTGTGAAGGAGAGTTGGAGTCACGGCATCATGGAGCGATGTGTCCAAGAGATCAAAACGGTTGCCTCCAAACTGACCTTGTCTCATCCTGAAATGTCTGTTCACAATGTGCTGGCTTTGACCACCATGGCTTTGAACTCAACAGAAACGGTGCGTGGATTTTCACCGTACCAATGGGTCTATGGCCAAAAGTTCACCTTGGATGATGAAGATGAGCGTGCTATGGCTCAACTGACACCATCAACCGCTGCTTTGGACTCTACGCAGCTGATGGTGAATCGCCGTGAAGCTGAGGCGATGGCTCGTCAAGTTCATGCTCAACGAGTCTTGGTGAAACTCAAGAACAGCGAGGTCAGGCAACCTCTCCAGGTCTTCAAGCCCATGGACTTAGTGAAGATTTGGAGAAAATTCTCCGCTGATGGTGGTCCCCGTGGCGGTCTCAAAAAGATCAGCCGACCTCAATGGCTTGGTCCTGGACGTGTGGTGTTTCATGAAGTCATCCATGGACAACATGAAGGTGATGGACGCAGGCATATCGTCTGGGTCATCGTTGGCGGTTCTATGCATCGATGTTCAGTTCACAGTGTGCGAAAAGTCAATGAACGAGAACGTTTGGAATATGAACTTCACAATCCAGAAGATCCTTCTCAATGGCAGAGCCTAGCTGACATGATTCCAAATCGTTCCTACATCGATGTCACCAACGAGGAGCCTGACGAGAACGAGGAACAGGGTCCACATCTTCCACTTCAACCTGATGCTGACACCATGAAGATGCCTGAATATGTGCCCAAGACGCGACACACCACAAAGTCCGGACCCAAGCGGCATCAAGTTTTACCACCACCTGCTGAGCCCATGCCTTCCATTTTCGAAGAATTGCCACCAGTGCCACCTGACAATGCACTGGATGAAAACGATGTGGTTCCATCACCCTCTACTCCAGCTGATGATCCCTTGAATGACTATGGTGATCCCACATACGTTCCTGATAGCGATGAAGAAGTTGGCAACACTGGCATAGGCAGTGGCCGTGGTGACAGTGATGCTCCTGATGATGGCCTTTCTCAACAACAACCTCTCCTACAATCCAGAGCCTCTTCTGACAAACCACCTCCCTCAAATGAGCCTGAATCCAAAAGACAGCGTGTTGAAGATGAAGAACAAGCACTCTACAAGTGTTTTATGGAAGCGGAAGAGTGCTACATGCTTTCTGCGGAGTTGGATGTGACCTCTCAACGCCAAAAACAACAGTTTGTCGAACATCCAAGCCTCTTTTTGGCACAAAAGATGCGAGATTGCGAAGTCAGTTTGACTCGCCTGAAACCTGAACATCGCAAACTCTTCGACCGTGCCAAGACCAAGGACGTTAACTCCTTCATCTCCAATGCTGCAGTCCGTAGATGCCTGGATTTAGCTGAAGAAAATGAAGCAAAGAACTCTGGCAGATTGATGCGCTGCCGCTGGGTGTTGACATGGAAACCAACACCAGAAGAGTCGCTTGATGAAGCTCGACAAGAAGTTTCTGAACGTACTGATAGCACCACTTTGACAGCTGATGCCCGCCGAAAGGCGAAAGCCAGAATTGTTTTGCTTGGCTATGAACATCCCGACTTGTTGACAGAAGCCCACAAGACCAGTTCTCCTGTGCAAGCGGTGCTGACTCGCAACCTCAGCTACCAGCTTGTCATGCAAATGGGATGGAACATAGAAGGCATTGACATGAGCACAGCCTTCCTCCAAACTCTTCCCACAGAAGAGGAAAAGAGATTGTGGACTTCAGGGGTGAAAGAACTTAGAGAAGCACTTCAAATCCCTGAAGGTGGCGTCATGCGAATCCTCAAGAACTTTTACGGCAGTACAACTGCTTGTCGCAATCTCTGGGAGAATGTCAACCAGTCAATGCTTGAGCTTGGTGGCACCCGCATCAAGGGTGACAAATGTTTCTGGCTGTGGACTGAAGAAGTGAAGGATGAAAATGGTGATGTTTGCACTCGTCCTCTTGGTTTCATGGCAGGCCATGTGGACGACCTTCATCGCGCTGGCAATGGAAACAGCGCTGCCTGGAAGCACATCAAGCAGTCCATTGATCAGCGTTACAAGTGGGGCAGCGTGAAACTGAATGCCTATCGACATGCTGGCACGGATTTGGAGATTGTGAATGATGCAACTCTTGGCCGTTGTCTGGTTGTGGATCAATCATACTATGTGGAGACCTTGCAAGATATTGATATCACACCTGAACGTTTCTGCCAAGGTGATGCAACTATGACTCCGAAGGAGATCAGCGCTTGCAGAACATCTCTGGGAGCTTTGCAGTGGCTTGCTGTGCAGACACAACCTTTGATCTGCGCGCGTTGCAACTTGCTGATCACCGAGCTCGCAGGCTCACCCGGTGATGCGCACTGCCCAGGAGATCCAAGAGCTGGTGCGTGAGCTTCGCAAGCATAGCACTCAGCTCAAGTTCTTCAAGCTGCCACATGTCAAGACTTGGAAAGATGTTTGTGTTGTTGGTTTGGGGGACCAAGCACATAACAATAGACCTAGAGGGGGTTCAACTGGTGGAATGCTTGTTTTTCTAGCCGGCCCTGAAATAGCTGTGGGGAAGCCAAACCCAATGGTTTTAGTTGCCTGGAAAAGTTGGAAACTCAAGCGCGTGGCCATCTCTTCAAACGATGCTGAAGTGCAAGCCTTGGTCGAGACTGAAGATGCGGTCTACCGCACCCAGCTACTTTGGGCTAAACTGAATGGCGCTGGCAAGCTTTCTGAGAGCCGCGATTTGCTGACAGCATCCGTAGCAAGTTCGTTTAGTGCCTGGTCTTCTTGGTACAGATAGCCGTGGTGGCTATGACAGTATAATAATTAATGAGTCACCACTTTTAGGACTTTCCTGCCTTTTCGAGATCTTGTCTCCCCTGGTCCCCCATTGCTCCCCATTCTCTCCCATTCTCCCCGCATGTGTGCACCTGTGTTGGATGGTGTGTCCGCCTTCTTGAAGACTTAGCTCCTATTGTCTCCCATGGTCTCTTGAAATGGTGTGTCCGCCTTCCCGACGTCTTGTTTCCGATTTGTCTCCCATTGTCCCCACATGTGTGCCCGTGTTGGATGGTGTGTCCGCCTTCCCGAGGTCTTGTCTCCCCTTGTCTCCCTTCTTGTATATCCTTGTCTCCGGTTGTCTCCACGTGTTCCCATTGTCTCCCCACATGTGCCTGTCGGATGGCCCACCTTCCCGAAGTCTTGTTTTTCATTGGCTCCCATTGTCTCCCTGGATATGTGTGCCTGTGTTGGATGGTGTGTCCGCCTTCTTGACGTCTTGTCTCCCCGTGTCTCCCATTGTCTCCCATTGTCTCCCATTGTCCCCCCAATTGTCTTCCATTGTCTCCCCACATGTGTGCTGTGCTGGACCGCCTTCCGAGGTCTTGTCTGCCCATTGTCTCCCATTGTCTCTCCAAATTGGTGCCTGTGTTGGATGGTGTCTCCGCCTTGAATCATATCCGCCTTCAAGAGGCCGTGTCTCCCATTGTCTCCCCACACGTGTGCCTGTGTTGGATGTTGTGCCCGCCTTCCCGAGGTCTTGTCTCCATTTATCTCACATTGTCTTCCCACATGTGACCTGTGTTGGATGGTGCGTCCACTTTCCCGAGGTCTTGTCTCCCCCTTGTCTACCATTGTCTCCCTGTTGGATGGTGTGTCCGCCTTCCCGAGGTTTTGTCTCCTTTTTTTCCCAGCTTGTCTCCCAGCTTGTCTTCCTTCTTGTCTCCCAGCGTGTCTCCCAACTTGTCTTTCTTCTTGTTTCCCTTTGTGGTGGGTGATCTGATTTTGCTTTTTTTCAAACAGTGTACTGTTGGGGTAGGCTTTCTTAAGGTGTCCGCCTTGGTGTTGGATGGTGTGTCCGCCTTCCCGAGGTCTTGTCTCCTATATTGTCTCCCAGTTTGTCTCTCTTCTTGTTTCTCTTTGTGGCGGGTGGTCTCATTTTGCATTTTTCCCAAACAGTGTACGGTTAGGGGTTCTTAATGCTTTCTCATGTCATGTGTTTGACCCTGTTCCTCAACACGTCTTGAATCCACCCACTGTTTGGGGTCTACGGTGGTTAAAATATAGAAATTTATGATAAGAAAAAATAATATTTAGTCCCATTTCTATCTGTGAAGAAAGTTTATCATAAATCGAGGTTTCGCGTATATATATATATATATACACGAAAAAATGCCCCGGCAAAATGACGTGCAACTTTGCCTTTATAAAAAGTCAAGATTACGTGTATATATATAATATATATGGTTTTGTGATGTTTTAACCCCTTTTTTTCGTAATTTTCTATCTCATGTTGTTCAGGAGTAGAGTCGCACAAAACCGTATATATATATATACATATATATATATATATACGCAGAATTGAGATTTTTCATTGAAAATTTCTATCTGCTAGATCACGAAAAACTGTTCTATGTGTCATTTTTATCACTCGTGTCGCAGGGGAATTTCTATCTACAAGATCGTGACTATAGGTGGTGCGCGTTCTCATCCTGGGTGCTTTTTCTGGCAAGGAACCTCGCAATTTTTTTGCCAACTTTCTGTCAGCCATGTCAGCTTTCAGATGGCCTACTATGTTGAATTTATTCTGGATGGGCTGCGCCCGAGGAAGTTGAATGCCTTTTCCGTGTTTCGCCCTGGCTTGTCACAAGGCACGCTATATTTCGGTCTGGTGCGAAGGCTCGATAGCTATGTGTTCTGCGAGAACTGTGGCTTCACGGCATGTGCCACTCAGCAAAGTCATATATAGTTGGTCCATTCAAGGGCCACGTCGATTCGCTGGGATCAAGATATCATCTGTATCTCTGCGCAGCTTGAGTGCTGGTCAGCATATCTAAGGAAACCATTTTGTGCTCAGAGAAATTAAATTCATCACACACTGTAGGGTGTAAAGTGCGGAACGTAGAGAGCAAAGTGTAAAGTGCGGAGTGCAAAATGCGGCGTGGAATGTGACATGTTCAACAGTGGCAAGTGTGGAAGGTAGTGGGGCGGGCCGGGTCTATAGTGGCAAGTTGCAATATCATGCAAACTGGCACGAAAAACGAAGGCAACATCACACCTCGCGCAGCCGTGCCAATGCGGAAAGCGGCACTTGCAAGCACGAAAGTGTCCCAAATACTGCGCCTGTTCTACGCAATATGACATTCCACGCACGACGGATCTTCACCAAATGCTGCACCTGCCACGAAAAAAGACATTCTCATGATGTCCCACGCCTGCCAGGCAATTTGCACGTTGTCACCACTCGACGCAGCCCTGACTATGCGATTCGCAAGAAACACGCAGCATGACACGTCGAAAGTGTTGCGCCTGCCACGCAAAATGAACATGGAGGTCTCCAAAGTGCTGCGCCTGTCACGAAACATGGAGGTCATCTTCTGAAAGCCTCGCAAGAGTATTGCGCCTGTCACACAGAACGACTTTGACACGTTATGGCACATGTTGTAATGTCACGAAGCGCCACGCCTGCCACAGGAAACGAAGTTCTCGGCGTTTGAGACCTCCAAAACTGACCACTTTTGCAGCACGCGCCATAGGCACGGCCATAGGCTGCTGGCGGATGCCGATGGTTGCGAACACAAAACCAGAGTCGAGCGAACACGTCTCAACCCCCATGCCCCCAAAGTAAAACGAGAACCCTTCACTACGCATTCGGGAATCATTGATCAGACCCGCTTCTTAGTGCTGCACTGGATCCCCTTTTGGATGCCAAAGCGCCCTAGCCGGCCAAGCCTCAGGAGATGACAGCACCCAGCTAGAATGCTGCATTACAATACACCCTGATGCTTCATGACGCAGCCATTTACATCTTGAGTACTTGATACTGCATTACACCACAATACACAGATTGCATTGAAGATTTCTTGCAACTCGTCATGTTGCTTCTAGTTTTCGTTCGCACAGGGATCCTACGAACCGGACAAAGGATGAATGACGCGTGTCTGCAATGCTTAACCGTTGCAATGGTTGTGCAACCTTCCGGTCTACTGGAAACCTCCAGGCACGGCGACAGCGAACCGAAGTCAACAACCCTTTGGGTATAGTATAGTTGCTTGAAGGTTCCAAGGAAGAGTGACCTATTCGAAGGAAGTTTAGAAGTCAGACTTCCGACCATATGGACAGATGAAGAGCAGAGATGGGAAGAGTCAGAGAAGAGAAGAGAAGAGAAGAACAAAGAAGATCAAAAAGAGAAAGTCTCAGAAGATAGAAGATGGAGGCGCGCGAAAAGGTGGGCAAGTAACGAAACACTGGGTTTTTCCAATGATTTGTGGCTCCGGAGGGTCGAAAAGTAGGCTCGCTAAAGCGGCGGGTGCGGAGCCAGCTGGCCAAATGAGAGATGAAAAATTGCACGCCGTTGTGGCGCGAAGCACATTTCAAGATCCGATGCTCCAAAATGCAACCTCTCTCAGGAAATCAGCGCCCGGACCTCCTAACAGCTCTGATGAACATGTCTTTTGTACTGCACCTGCCACGGAAAATGCATCTTTGCAGATCCTCTTCAAATGTCCCATGCCTGCCATCGGTTTAAATGCTACAAAACCATCACGTTTTGCTCACTTTTGACAAGGTGCACAATCCCTTGTGCCTGCCACGCAAAACGACGCTTCAACGTCCAAAAGTGGCGCGTACATGTGGTGCTTTGTAGATTTTGACTTCGAAATGTGCTTAGCGCCACAACGGCGTGCACTTTTTGGGCATCGCAACTTCTAAAAGTGCTCCGACGCATGATTTTGTGTGACAGGTGCAGCACTTCGTATGATTCGTGGCAGGCGCAGTACTTTAGACAGGTGGAATGGAAAAATCGCAAAAGCGCATTGGTACGAGGCCGTCAGCTCTGCACTCAACTTTCTATTTTTGAAGGAGGTCTCGCAGAACTGTTTCGTTTTTGATGTTGTCAACTTCGAAAATTGAGGAAGTCTCGCACAATTCCTTCGTTTTTGACGTTGTCAAGTTCAAAATTGAGGAAGTCTCGCAGAATTGCTGCGCTTCTGATGTTGTCAAGTTCAAAAATTGAGGACGTCTCGCAGAATAGCTTCGGTTTTAAACTTGCAGATAGACGGACGGACGGACGGACGGACGGACGGAGAGATAGATAGATAGATAGATAGATAGATAGATAGATAGATAGATAGATAGATAGATACATAGATAGATAGATAGATAGATACATGGATGGATAGATAGATAGATAGAAAAGACAATTACTACTACAACTACAACTACACTACACTACTGCTACAGCTACAAATGCAAATTATACTACACTACATTACACTACACTAATCACATCTAATCACACTACACTAATCACACTACACTACACTAGTTGCATCTAATTACACTACACTACACGAATTACACTAACAACTGCAACAGCACTTCCTACTACTACTACTACTACTACAACTACTACAACTACTACTACTACTACTACTACTACTACTCCTGCTACTACTACTACTACTACCACCACCACCACTACCACAACTACAACTACAATTACAACTACACTATACTACACTATTTCACTGCAGCACGCTACAACTACAAATACAACTACAACTACAACCACACTACATGACACAACACTACACTGCACTGATTACATTGCACTACACTACAACTACAGTTGCAGCTGCCACTGCAACTACAACTACAACTACCACTACATTACATTACACTACACTACGCTACACATACTACACTACACTACACACTACACGACACTACACGACACGACACTACAACTACCACTACATTACATTACACTACACTACATTTACTACACTACGCACGCTACACTACACTACACTACACTACACTACACTACACTACACTACACTACACTACACGACATTACACTGCACTACACTACACTATATAGTTACACCACACCACGGCTACAACTGCAACTGCGCTTGCCAATAAATTAATTACACTACATTGCAGCCACAACTACATCCAGCGGTTGTGGTAAGGTGACCACTGCAACCATTGCAACCGTTCCAAAAAACCCAACTCCAACCACCTGTCGGTCCATCAGTGGATTCGCTCTGCCATCCGTGATTCACAACAACCAACCTCCCCTATAGGTTTCCTATTTTTGAAACTTCCGCCACTGCCTTGTGCGGTACTACTGGAATTATCCAAGCACATTAAACCAGTAGTCCCACAAGGCAGTGGCGGAAGTTTCAAAAATAGGACGCTATCGGAGAGGCGAGTTGTTGTGAGTTGTGATGCATGGATGGCAGAGCGAATCCACTGATGGACGGAAAGGTGGTTGGAGCTGTGCTTTTTTGGAGTGCTTGCAATGGCCACCTCACCCACAACTGCTGGATGTAGCGTTGTGTAGGGCAGCTGTAGTTGTAGTTGTAGCGTAGTGGAGTCGTAGTTGTACTGTAGTGTAACTAGTGTAGTGTAGTTGTAGTTGCAGTTCTAGCTGTGGTGTGGTGTTATGAGTGTAGTGAAAAGCAATGTAGTGTAGTGTAGTGTAGTGTAGTGTGCTGAAGTGTAGTCTAGTGTAGTCTAGTGAAAATTAGCGTACTTGTAGCTGTATCTGTGGTTGCAGTTAGTGTTGTGTGGCTTAGTGTCGTGTAGTGTAGCGTAGCGTAGCGTAGGGTAGTGTAGTGGTAGTGTAGTGGTAGTGTAGTGTAGCGTAGTGTAGTTTAGTGTAGTGTAGTGTAGTGTAGGGTAGGGTAGGGTAGTGGAGTGGAGTGGAGTGGTGCAGTGTAGTGTAGTGGAGTGCAGTGCAGTGCAGTGCAGCGCAGTGCAGCGCAGTGCAGTGCAGTGCACTGCGTGTAGTGTAGTGTAAATAATGCAGTGTAGTGTAATTAATGTAGCGTAATGTAGTGTGATGCAGTGTAATGTAGTGTAATGCAGCGTAATGCAATGATGCGGTGTAATGTAGTGTAATGTAGCGTACTATAGTGTAGTTAGTGTAGTTGCAACTGTAGCTGTAGTAGTATGGTCCAGCTATTAATCGGAAACTAAAACCCGTTAATCGGAAACCAAAACCCGCTAATCGGAAACTAAAACCTGTTAATCGGAAACCAAAAGAATCGGAAACTAAAACCCGTGAATCGAAAACCAAGAACCTTGAATCGCAAACCAAAACCCCGGAATCGGCAACCACAACTGAATCGTAAACTAAAGCAGGTGAATCGGAAACTAAAGCAGGTGAATCAGAAACTAAAACAGAAGAATCGGAAACTAAACCAGCTGAATCAATCAGAATGGGCAACTTGTCTCCTTCAATCGGAAAGCAAAGTTGGAGGTAATATCCTGTTCAGAATAATGGCCAGAGGGGGTGGCAGATTTGATTTCTTAGGAAGATAAGTTGAAGGTAATGTCCCATTGAACATAGTGTTCAGAGGGGGTGGCGGTTTTGATTTCCTTTGAAGATAAGTTGAAAGCAATATCCCTTTAAACATTGTGTTCAGAGGGGGTGGCGGGTCTGATCCCTTATGAGGATAAGTTGGTGGCAATATCATTCAACAAAATGTTCAGAGGGGGTGGCAGATTTGGCTTCTGATTCCTTTTTTTGGCTTTTGATTTGTTTGGTTTCTGATTCGCGGATCTTGGTGTCTGCTTCGCAATTTTTAGTTTTTGATTCTCAGTTTCTGATTCGCGGGTTTTAGTTTCTGATTCTTTGCTGCTGATTCGCGGGAAGTTTCTGATTCGAGGTCTGTTCGTAGTAGTAATGGTAGTTAGATTTGTAGTTTTCGTTGTGGTGTAAATAGCGTAGTGTACTGTAATTAGCGTAGTGTAGTGTAATTGGTGTAGTGTAGTGTAGTGTACTGTAATTAGTGTACTGTACCGCAAAACATTTGTATCTGTATTTGTCTTGTGGTGGTAGCGTAGTTGTAGTTGCAGTTCTAGTTGTAGTTGTCTATCTATCTTTCTATCTATCTATCTACCTAAAATCTACCTACCTACCTACCTATCTATCTATCTATCTATCTATGTATCTATCTATCTATCTATCTATCTATCTATGTATCTATCTATGTATCTATCTATCTTTCTTTCTTTCTATCTATCCATGTATCTATCTATCTATCTATCTATCTATCTACCTATCTATCTTTCTATCTATCCATGTATCTATTTATCTATCTATATATATATATCTATCTATCTATCTATCTATCTACCTCTCTATCTTTCTATCTTTCTATCTTTCTATCTATCCATGTATCTATCCATCGATCTATCTATCCATCCATCTGTCTATCTGCAAGTTTAAAAACGAAGCTATTCTGCGAGACGTCCTCAATTTTTGAACTTGACAACATCAGAAGCGCAGCAATTCTGCGAGACTTCCTCGATTTTGAACTTGACAATGTCAAAAACGAAGGAATTGTGCGAGACTTCCTCAACTTTCCAAGTTGACAACATCAAAAACGAAACAATTCTGCGAGACCTCCTTCAAAAATGGAAAATTGAGAGCAAAGATGACGGCCTCGTACCAATGCGTTTTGCGGTTTTTCCATTCCATCTGTTTAAAGCACTGCGCCTGCCACAAAAAAGTGAGGCCAGGTCATGAAAAGTGCTGCGCCTGTCACGCAAAATCATCTTATCAAACCTGAAGATCTGACGCTCCAAAATGCAACCCCTCTCAGGAAATCTCCGCCCTGACCTCCTAACATCTCTGGTGAACATGTTTCCTGTATTGCGCCTGCCACGCGAAATGCATCTTTGCAGATCCTCTTCAAATGTCCCACGCCAGCTGGCGAGGGGCTCACTTTGAGCATAAATTCGAGCTCACTTTGGGCATATTTTTTTGAGGTTCACTTTGGGCATAAATTCTTGAGGTTCACTTTGGGCATAAATTGGGCTCACTTTGGGCATAAATGGGCTCACTTTTGGGCATACATGGGCTCACTTTGGGCATAAATGGGCTCACTTTAGGCATAGATGGGTTCACTTTGCGCATAAATGGGTTTACTGTGGGCATAAATGGGCTCACTTTGGGCATAAATGGGATCACTTTGGGCATAAAAAACGGCTACGACACCTATAGGGTGTATATGTTGTTGAGCACTTAATGTAAGAAGAGCCACAACACCTTTAGGGCCTTTAGGGTTTATATGTTGTTGCACTTAATGTAAGAAGAGCCACGACACCTTTAGGGTTTATATGTTGTTGCGCTTAATGTAAGAAGAGCCACGACACCTTTAGGGTTTATATGTTGTCGATTCACGCCCGAAGCGAGACCAAATTTACGCCCCAAGCGAAACCAAATTTACGCCCGAACCGAGCCAAAATTTCCGCCCGAAGCCCGAAGCGAACCCCCGCCCCACGCCGGCCAACGCTTTAGAAACTCACGTTTTGCTCACTTTTGGCAAGGTGCCGAATCCGTTGCGCACGCCACGCAAAACCACATCCTAACTTCCAAAAGTGGTCCGAGACCGTCAGTTCTTTACACTGTTCACTTCCAAATGTGCTTCGTGCCACAACAGCGTGCACTTTTTTGACACCTCAAGTTCCAAAAGTGCTCCGACCATGGTGTGCTTTGTACATTTTGACTTCGAAATGTGCTTCGCGCCACAACGGCGCATATACACTTTTTCATCATCTCAACTTCCAAAAGGGTCGGAAGCTGGTGTATTTTGTACATTTTGACTTGGAAATGTGCTTCGCGCCACAACGGCGTGCACTTTTTTGACATCGCAACTTCCAAAAGTGCTCCGAGAATGCTGTGCTTTGTACATTTTGACTTCGAAGCGTGCTTCTAGCCACAACGGCGTGCAATTTTTCATCTCTCATCTCCCCAGACGGCTCCGCACCCGCCGCTTTAGCGAGCCTACTTTTCGACCCTCTGGAGCCCCAAACATTGGAAAAACGCAGTGATTCGCGACTTTTCTACCTTTTCGCGCACCTGCATCTTCTTTCTTCTGACTCTTTCTCTTCCCTGATCTTCTTGCTTCTTCTCTTCTCTTCTCTGACTCTTCCCACCTCTGCTTTTTCATCTGTCCATATTGTCGGAAGTTGGACTTCTAAACTTCCTTCGATGAGCCCGACAAAAAATCTTTGCGATGAATCTCCAAAGATTGGCTTTGCTACATCTATATACGCAAGTTTCAAGAACTTTGTGTTTGGAACTCTTCCGCAAAGCAAAAGCCAGTAAGTTGATCCTCCGAATTTTCATATGTGGGCTTCATTGCCACCCGAAAACCGCCTTTTTGTTGTGGAAGTTCGGCTTGGCTTGATTACTTTCCCGATGATTGTCTTCAGTAGCGTGTGTATACCATGTGGGCAAGACGCAAGCCTTCGCCAGGCGTTCATCCAGTCATCTCTACAGTAAATATTCACAGTGAACCAAATGAATGTCTACGAAAATGGAAGCGTCTACTGTATGTCCTATCCTTGCTTTTATTCGCTCAAGAAGTACATCCCATTTCCACGTGGATAAAATGACAATCTAAATTCATCTAAAACTATCATTTGAATGGTTTTAAATGATTTAAAATGGCCCTGACATACTATAAAAGGCTCTGGTCAAGGCTCGCACCCAGCACTCAGGCGGCCCACGGGCCGCAACATAAGTTATCTCGTGCTTTTGGAAGACGTGGCCGTGTCTTTCACGGCCAGCACGTGGTGCATACGCAGTTCCGCTGACCTCCAAGGGGTTCAAGTGCATCCCGTGTGAAGCAAAGGTGGACTCTGAATGATCATGAATGATCGACGTATCCAAACGCACTCCACACAAAAGGCCTGCTCTGCGAAGATCCACTGCCAATGACAAGTGCTGCAAGCTGTCTTTCAGATTTCAGTGCGCAATATGTCAGGCTTTGGCTTTGGGTATTACTGGCTGCAGCATAGAACTTTTTCGACATGACCACATAGTGCCACTTGTTACGTTAGGCACATTTATGTCTGGGGAGTTGACCACAAAAGAGTAAGTGCAGCACTTCTTTTGCTTTTTGGCTGGGGTGCTTAAAATGCTGAAGCTGTAGTGAGGCTGACTAGCTTAGGCTTGGCTCTCAGTAACCTTGAGTTCTGCTTTAGTTCCGCATCGTGGTTTTATTGCGAACTTCTCTGAACCGTCCGCGCGCGAATATGCTACCATGCAAAAAGAGACAATCTAGCCCCCTGCCCTACCTGGAAAAGGGCTTCTCTTACTTACTCCCCAAGTAAGAGAAAATCAATAGCCAATCCTTGTCAACTCTCCTATGACCCACAGCAGTTCAGTTCACATCCCTCACAATACTCAAGCCCCCACTCCAGTGCCTGGGCAGCATCACCAACCAATACAGCCAGATTCCAGCTGGAAGTTGACTGAATGCAATGATTTCCAAAGTTTCTAGAAGGTCAATCTGACTCATGGAAAGTCCAACGATTTGCTGCCCACAAATGAACAGGCAGTGTGGCAGTGGGATGGGCTGGACGGCAAGACAATGAGCAGCAGAAGGTCAACTCTTGTGTGGCTGGATGCGAATAGATAGAAACATTGTAAAAACTGCTAAGCTGACCCTCATGAGCAGAGAAGCCTGTGCGAGACTGAGCCACGACACACTAAGAGGGAGTCAAGAATTGTTAGCAACGGCATGGACGAATGTTTTCATGGTAAGTCATGTTTGGCCGCCGCAGAAAACCAGATAGGTGGTGACATTCCTCCACGGAGGAAACATTTGCAGACCAATTTGAGAATGATGAATGTCCCTTCCGAAGGAACTTCCCATGATTCCCCAAACTTTACTTCAGTTCTTTGCCCTGGGTAATTTCCCACTGCCCAGCACATCACCAGTCAGCCAGGTGGATCGTACCATTCTCACCTCGGTGGACAAAAGGATACCTTCTGTTACTGACAGGAACCTGAATGCGGCCGGAAAAAACCTGGAAGTGTCACCAAGTATATATGCATCAATAAAGTCAGTCGAACACACTAATTTTGTGGGGGGGGAAATGACTGCAAATCCACCCAGCATTTTGGACATTTTTGCTCCCGAACAATCGGACAACGCGCGACAGGTCTGCAGCTGAAAGCACTATGCTGCGCCGCGTGCCAAAGGAGCAGCTCCAGACAAGAGAAAGCACCTCTCACTTTAGCATTTTCGCATAACAAGTGGCCCAAGTCAGCTTTGTGCCTGAACACCTGCAAAAGCATTGCTGTCATGGACTTGATCTGAGTGATGATATGGGGTTCTTGGGTCCAAAACCAACTGGAAGCAAACATAGATTGACCACACACTCAGTTGACCCAGACCGATATTGGTGTTGCGCAGTCATGTCTTCTGTGCACCTTATCTTTTCCTCACGGACATATTTTGTGAAACAATTTCCATCCACAAATGTATATCCATCCGGCATACATGCATGTTCTTACCTCATCGGTAGATATCTTTCGCGGGTTCCAACTACTTTTCTCGTATGAACAAATGGAGCTCAAACTAAGGTCTAGTCTATACATAGCAAAGCTTCTAGGGAGGAGGCAAGAAGCTTGCCGCTGGGTTTCCTTACTAAACAACCCTTCTGTGGCCAATGAATGCAACTGCAACTGACCTTTGCACACTGATTGTCAAGCACTCTTCCTAGGTGCGTTCCCCCTTACAGTACAAAATTTGAACTGGTTGTAAGCCATGGCAAGCCCTTCCAAGCCCCAGGTCGGTAACAAGGCACGTCTGATTTCCGTCCTCGCAAATTCTCCAGCGGTTCCACGGGCAGTCTGCCTCAGACGGACCACAAGGGAAAAAGGGGGCACCCAGGCTTTCAAGGGAATCCAACTGTTTAAAGCTAAAAGGAAACCTGTGCCAGGGCAGACATGAAACCCCACTCGACGTCCGGCAAAGCTCTTCTTTTCAAGATGCATTTGATTAACCCAGCTTTGCAACCCAACAGCAGGTTCCACGGGTCCAAGGTCCCCTTCCGGTTTTTGGGCACAGCAAAAAACTATGCATCACTTCCAGACCCAGAGATTGAAACCCCTTTTTAGAGGAAAATGCCTCCATAAAATCAAAATCTAAAGAAATGCCTCCATAAAAGCTAAAATCTAAAGAGCTCTGGGTCTTGAGAACCGCACTTTATAGAGGAAATAGGCAGGGGGATACTAAGTCTAAGTAATCGAAAATCAGACAGTCTCCTCACCCCGCACCTGTGGACCAGTCATCGGAGGCTCTTTTCTTCATCCACAAATCAAAGTTGCAACCTGAGATCTCAAAAAAACGAAGGCAAGTCGAACAGGAAGGATCTGACATTCTACACGAGCAAGCACATGAATCAAATGAAAACTCTTGGGTTTGTTCCCCAAACAGGTTTACCTGTATGGGGTTCTTGCTCCTTAGAAAGGGTTGCTTGCCTTGGTCGTGTGATTTTGACTGTGTCTCCGGGTTTGCGTCCTCAGAGTGTTGGGTCCGGTTGGTCGCATGATTTCCTACACTTGTCTTCCATTGGTCTTTCATTTGTTTCCACTTGGCTCCCACTCTGGGTCATGTTGGTCGCATGATTTCCTTCACTTGTCTTCCATTTGTCTTTCATTTGTCTCCCACTTGGCTCCCACTCTGGGTCATGTTGGTCGCATGATTTCCTTCACCTGTCTTCCATTGGTCTTTCATTTGTTTCCACTTGTCTCCCACTCTGGGGCCGGTTGGTCGCATGATTTCCTTCACTTGTCTCCCCTTTGTCTTTCATTTGTCTCCCACTTGTCTCCCACTCTGGGTCCGGTTGGTCGCATGATTTCCTTCACTTGTCTCCCATTTGTCTTTCATTTGTCTTCCACTTGTCTCCCACTCTGGGTCCGGTTGGTCGCATGATTTCCCTCACTTGTCTCCCCTTTGTCTTTCATTTGTCTCCCACTTGTCTCCCACTCTGGGGCCGGTTGGTCGCATGATTTCCTTCACTTGTCTCCCATTTGTCTTTCATTTGTCTTCCACTTGTCTCCCACTCTGGGTCCGGTTGGTCGCATGATTTCCTTCACTTGTCTCCCATTTGTCTTTCATTTGTCTCCCGCTTGTCTTCCACTCTGGGTCTGGTTGGTCGCATGATTTCCTTCACTTGTCTTCCATTGGTCTTTCATTTGTTTCCACTTGTCTCCCACTCTGGGTCCGGTTGGTCGCATGATTTCCTTCACTTGTCTCCCATTTGTCTTCCATTTGTCTTCCACTTGTCTCCCACTCTGGGTCCGGTTGGTCGCATGACTTCCTTCACTTGTCTCCCATTTGTCTTTCATTTGTCTCCCGCTTGTCTTCCACTCTGGGTCTGGTTGGTCGCATGATTTCCTTCACTTGTCTTCCATTGGTCTTTCATTTGTTTCCACTTGGCTCCCACTCTGGGTCATGTTGGTCGCATGATTTCCTTCACTTGTCTTCCATTTGTCTTTCATTTGTTTCCACTTGTCTCCCACTCTGGGTCCGGTTGGTCGTATGATTTCCTTCACGTGTCTCCCATTTGTCTTTCATTTGTCTTCCACTTGTCTCCCACTCTGGGTCCGGTTGGTCGCATGATTTCCCTCACTTGTCTCCCCTTTGTCTTTCATTTGTCTCCCACTTGTCTCCCACTCTGGGTCCGGTTGGTCGCATGATTTCCTTCACTTGTCTTCCATTGGTCTTTCATTTGTTTCCACTTGTCTCCCACTCTGGGTCCGGTTGGTCGCATGATTTCCTTCACTTGTCTCCCATTTGTCTTTCATTTGTCTCCCACTTGGCTCCCACTCTGGGTCGTGTTGGTCGCATGATTTCCTTCACTTGTCTTCCATTGGTCTTTCATTTGTTTCCACTTGTCTCCCACTCTGGGTCCGGTTGGTCGCATGATTTCCTTCACTTGTCTCCCATTTGTCGTTCATTTGCCTCCCACTTGTCTCCCACTCTGGGCCTGGTTGGTCGCATGATTTCCTACACTTGTCTTTCATTTGTCTCCCACTTGTCTCCCACTCTAGGTCTGGTTGGTCACATGATTTCCCTCACTTGTCTCCCCTTTGTCTTTCATTTGTCTCCCACTTGTCTCCCACTCTGGGTCTGGTGGGTCGCATGATTTCCCTCACTTGTCTCCCCTTTGTCTTTCATTTGTCTCCCACTTGTCTCCCACTCTGGGGCCGGTTGGTCGCATGATTTCCCTCACTTGTCTCCCCTTTGTCTTTCATTTGTCTCCCACTCTGGGTCCGGTTGGTCGCATGATTTCCTTCACTTGTCTCCCATTTGTCGTTCATTTGTCTTCCACTTGTCTCCCACTCTGGGTCCGGTTGGTCGCATGACTTCCTTCACTTGTCTCCCATTTGTCTTTCATTTGTCTCCCGCTTGTCTCCCACTCTGGGTCTGGTTGGTCGCATGATTTCCCTCACTTGTCTCCCATTTGTCTTTAATTTGTCTCCCACTTGTCTTCCACTCTGGGTCTGGTTGGTCGCATGATTTCCTTCACTTTTCTCCCATTTGTCTTTCATTTGTCTCCCACTCTGGGTCGTGTTGGTCGCATGATTTCCTTCACCTGTCTTCCATTGGTCTTTCATTTGTCTCCCACTTGTCTCCCACTCTGGGTCGTGTTGGTCGCATGATTTCCTTCACTTGTCTTCCATTGGTCTTTCATTTGTTTCCACTTGTCTCCCACTCTGGGTC